TTTCCCTAGCCCTGTGCCTCAGAAAGACAGGACTGCCATCCTGCAGAAACACTTCTTCCTCTCCACCTTCACCTGATGTTACATAAAAGAGATGACTAACAGCTTGTGGGATGTGATTCTGCCCTTCCACTCTGCTTTCATGAGACCCAACCTGGAGTATTGTGTCCAGTTATGGAGCCCTCAACATAACAAGGACATGGAACTCTTAGAGAGAGTCCACAGAAGGGCCACAAAGATGATTAGAGGGCTGGAGCACCTCTGCTATGAAGACAAGCTGAGAGAATTGTGGTTGTTCAGCCTGGAGAAGAGAAGAATCTGGAGAGACCTTATAGTGGCCTTCCAGGAGCTGAAGGGGCCTACAGGAAAGCTGGGGAGGGACTTTTATATGGGCAGGTAGCGACAACACAAGGGGTAATGGCTTTAAATTGGAAGAGAGCAGATTTAGGCTAGGAAGAAATTCTTTAGTGTGATGGTGGTGAGAACCTGGCACAGGTTGCCCAGAGGAGTTTTGGCTGCCCTCTCCCTGGAAGTCTTCAAGGCCAGGTTGGATGAGGCTTTGAGCAACCTGATATAGTGGGAGGTGTCACTGCCTATGACAGGGGGGTTGGAACTAGATGATCTTTAAGGTCCCTTCCAATCCAAAACATTCTGTGATTCTATGAAAAATAGCTCACACAGCTGGTTTGAGCCATTGTTTTTGGGCCTTTTTGCTTTGTCATGTTGATGCCTAGGTTTCTCCTTTTCTGCCAGCTGTGACCACATTGCTGAAACCAACAAAATCCTCAGCCTGTCGGTCTCTCACAAATGGGGTGGTAAAACCTCATTTGTTAACCAAACTTGTACTGGTAAACTAAGTTTCAGATCATTGCTTTCTGATTAGGTGGCTTACATTTCTACAAAGTCTTTCTACTCCAAATGACTATGCTTGCATTAGAAATACTTATTTATTTATTTATTTATTTTATTTTCTTCTAGTAGAATTGCTGCACAAATTAACCTTGAATTATACTTTGGGGAACACAACAGCCTCAAATCGTAACATGATAAAAAAACCTCTCAGGCATACTCACACATACATAGCTCATTCTCTCCTCTCAAGTGGTAATTAATTATTTGAAAATAAAAACCACTCAAGTATCAGTGTTTTTCTAAAGAAACATTTTGGATGTTCTTTTTCTGTAGGTTCAGTATTTAATAATAATTAATTCCCATCACTCTGCAAGCAGTGATTGCTTCATACTCTTGTCTTTTTCCTTTGAGGTATCATATGTCATTTTCATTTTTTGAGTGATTTCCATAGTTGTGTTCTGCAAGATTTCTGGAAGGGCATTCTGGCCTCACCAAAAAGAGAAATTGATGAAAAATGGTTCCTGTGAGGTTTGCCAGATTATTTTAAAGTTATTGTTATGCAAATAACTCCACCAGGCTGTGGAACAAAGCCCTGGACCAAGTCAGAGGGGAAACTGTCAGCTTGAAACGGAAATTGACAAGAAAACATTTCATTTTTCATTGTCAAGCCTCTCAGAACTACATCCTTTTGCACCAAAGCCTCCTAGCAGGATATGAGTAACTTATGCAGGGATGTCAAGATTAATTCCAAGCTTTGCTCGTGTCCTCACATTAGCTTGGCTACAATTTTGAAATAAAAGTTTAACAGAAGAACTTTACAGAAGCTTGCAGACACTGTTGATGAAGTCCTGAACTTCACCACTTAGTGATCGCAAAAGTAACCGCAGTTGCTTTTAATAACTTCAAGCTTGGGTGATGTAATTTTCTGTTAATAAGAAATGTCCTTGTTAGCTTTAACCATTTTACTTTTTGCCAGAAAAATTCTCTTATCTAGAAGCCTTTCCAGACTACCCTGAAAACCTGAGTGCTGCTACAGCAAACACCTTTCACTAAAGACCAAACCTTCAGTCTCAACAGCAGCCAGAAAAGGAGAAAGGAGCTGCTCTTGCAGTTGGAAAAAATGTGTTGGCTTTAAGTTGTTTGTGTCATCACTTACTTGGTAATAAATTGCTGCATATGCTGGCCACTCCTTACAGGCTCTGCCTCTCCCCTGACAGCTCCTGATGCCACAAAGACCCTGGGCACACAGGTGCCCTCCTCTCACAGAATGTGCATCTGCATGTGCATCCAACTCCTGCAGCACCTCTTTCTGACCCCCCTTCCTCCAGCGACCAGCTGACATCTGCAGTTGATGCCTTACTTTAAATATAAGACAAGCAGGAATATGAGGTCCACTCATTAACCCCAAAACTTATTACAGTTTTGTGAGCATACCTTTAAGTGCATTTAATCAGACATTTCCTGATCTGTTTGTCTTTACATAGGTTTTTTGTGGATTACAGACCTTTGCCTTGCTGGTCAGTCAGATCCCATGCTCTCCTGCTTCAGTCACACAGCAGCTTCATTTCTGAGAACTGTCCAGAATGCAAGTGAAAGCTTGGGAACAAATTAGGCAGAAGATAGTTCTGTAACCACTGCTTGAAAAATGCAGTGATTCACGTTCTTCCCTTTGTTTCTGCTGCACTGGTATAGTCACTCCAGTTTCCAGTAAAAAAAATAAATATATATATACACAAGAATTAATTGCACACAGTCACTAACTAAATGACAACATTTCCACACAGTCCAAGTGACTAGTGGTATTGATAAATCATAGATGAACTTCTGGAAAATGTTGCAAACCAGAGCCACTGAGGCACAATTGTAAATCCTGCTCCTACAGTCAGTCTAAAACACTGTTTTTTCAACCTTCCAAACCAGGCTGACAACTGGGTAGTTGCAGGATTTATAGAATCAAAGAATAGAATCATAGTATCATTAGGGTTGGAAGGGACCTTAAAGATTACCAAATTCCAACCTCCCTGTCATGAGCAGGGAACCCTACCACTAGACCAGTCTCAAAATCTCATCCAATTTGCTCTTACAAACCTCCAGGGATGGGGCATCAACAACCTCCCTGGGCAACCCATTCCAATTCCTCACCACCCTTGCAGTGAAAAATGTCTTTCTAATATCTAACCTAAATCTCCCCTCTCTCAGTTTAAAACCATTACCCCTTGTTCTATCACTATTTTCTCTGATGAAAAGCCCCTCCCCAGCTTTCCTGTAGCTCCTTCAAGTACTAGAAGGCTGCTATAAGGTCTCCCTGGAGCCTTCTCTTCTCCAGGCTGAACAGTCCCAAGTCCCTCAGCCTGTCTTCATAGCAGAGGTGCTCCAGCCATCTGATCATCTTGATGGCCCTTCTCTGAACCCTCTCCAACAGGTCTATACCCTTCTTGTGCTGAGGGCACCAGAGCTGTACCCAGTGCTCCAGCTAGGGTCTCACCAGAGCAGAGTAGAGGGGTAGAATCCCCTCCCTGGCCCTGCCGGCCACACTCTTTTGATGCAGCCCAGGATGCAGTTGCTCTCTGGGCTCCAGTACACACTGGCTGCTCATGTTGAGCTTCTCATCTATAACCACCCCCAAGGCTGCGCACGGTGGTCCCGGCAACACCCCCTGTGTGTCATGCTCTCCTGAAAGAGCTGCCCAGCCCTGCTGGGCCTCTCTGCTCTCCCAGGGGCTTCCCGAGTTCAATGGCCCCTCTCAGGGTGTGGCATAAGAGAGGGAGATTATTTCATCCACCGATAAATTTTAGTGATGTGTAGGTTGGTCCGTCAGTACTAGTAGAAGGTACTGTTGTTCTGGAAACAGCTGGTCAAACGCAATTGAGCCAGCCTGACATTTTATAACATGCCCATAAGTAGTGTCTGTGTCTGACAAAGCCCTCTATGTCTTGTGTGAATTTGGAAACCTGTAGTACAACAGGATGAAGACAGTAGCTGCATCTACTGATGTATGCTCTAGCCTGCACTTCTGGGTCAGGATGAGCTGTGGTGGGACGCACAGTCAGTAGCCAAGTGGTGCTGCAGGACCAGGTGTTGCTCACTTGGGCAGGGTTACAGAGAAAGCGTCACATTTGTGTATAAGCTTTAGATCAGAAAGAACAACGGTAGTTTGTATGTGGTCACAGCTGTTTATCCTTTGTTGTGTTTGATTTGGAGGTATTTGAACTGTGATCTCTTCCCAAACCGGGCTCCCTCTCTCAGCTACCACACTGCCAATGGCTGCGGTAAAGGACTGCAAATTGCGGCTGCTGGCAGT